TATATATATATATATATATATATGAATGGTTGTTTGTCCTGTGTGTCTCTGTGTTGCCCTGCGATGGACTGGCGACCTGTCCAGGGTGTATCCCGCCTCTCGCCCATTGACTGCTGGAGATAGGCACCAGCCCACTTGGGACAAGCGTGTAAAGAAAATGGATGGATGGATGGATATATTTAAAATCCCAAATTAAGAAACAACAAAAAAAGACATGTTCTCCATATTTTAATTCCAAATTTCGTAGTTTTAGAAACTACGAACATTTCTAGGTTATTCCAATGTTGAAGGATGATGATGAAGCTAAGTAACTCTTCAAAGTTTAGCATCTAGGAGCTGTACTTTGTGTCTCTAACAGTGAGGCCGAAGGACGAGCTCACCTTCGCTGTGCTGGCTGCCCGTGCTGCCTGGGGCGTAGCTATAGCTGCTGAGCTCGTGGTACGGAGGCGGCTGGCTGGAGTAGGGATGTGCTGCGTAGGGCTGATAGGGGAAGGTGTGCATCATGGGCCAGGGGGAGGCGCCCGGGAGCGGCAGGGGGGCCAGGGTGTCCTGATCGGAGGCGCCGCTGGAGCCATCGTTGTCATTCAGTGACAGATTGGCCATGTCTGGATAGGGGATAAAAAAACAAGAACACAATTTAACCTCTGAACACAGACTGACCTAGAAGAGATGTCCTTATGTTATCTATGTTCTATAAACAGATCCCTCCAACAGACTCAAGTCAGAGACTCACAGTTCTCACAGTCGCTCAGGTCTCCGAACACGTAGTAGCACTGCTCGGAGAAGGTGATCTTGTTGACGGTGTGTCGGATGAAGCCGGCCTTCAGCAGGTTGCTGGCATACTTCCTGGCTTCCCGGCGGTCCTGGAACCCCTCGATGTGATGGAAGAGCCACTCCACTACGTCTGAGCCTGAGGTTGAAATAACAGAGAGTGATTCTCAAAGGAAGCCAACAACGAAGGACAGTGACCGCTGATACAGCTCCAGATGTTTACACAGTCACCATGAGCATAAATGGTTTCACTATCAATGATTCATTGGAACCCAGGTCCAAAATAAATGAACATGTATTAATATGGATTTAAAAATAAGCATCTCTAAGCATGGTGACCTTTCCACAAACTGTTCTTAACAGTAAAATGCTTTCAAATTGTTTCTCACCCAGCAGAATCCACACCTAGCTGATGTTTTAATATCTTCTGGGATTAATCTACTCCACAGCATGACGCGGCTTCCGCCGTGCTTAATGACACATTTAAAAGCCTGCAAACACGCTTCCTGTCATGACAACCATACATCCTGGTCGTTTTCTTGTCTGACTAGTAAACATTTCTGCAGGAGGAGTCCGACTTTGCAAAGTGGGCAGCTGCAAATTCCTACTGAGCTTGAAATGTGAAGCAGGTGTTTCCCTTCTGGTGAGCAGCGCCGCAGTCCAGAACACATGCTTCTCTGACCTCTTCTATGGCTGGGCCCCAAAACTGCCCTATACTGCACTCTCAGGATTTTTATCACACATTTACCCCCAGAACAGAACAAACTCGGTGAATTTAAAGACCTTCTGAAAGACATTGAAGAAAATAGCTTATTTAAAAACCAGTCAAGCTGAATGCTCAATTTTATAGTTTTAAAGCTATACGAGTTTCAAATACGATAGGAATCCAAATGTTTCAGCTTTCTTAACCGGTCGCACTTGGAAGAGATTTTAAATGGGAAAGTGGTTTTATCTGGATAAAAAAAAAGGTTTAAAAACAGAGAAAGAGAGAGACTGGATTCTTGGAGGCTCTTCAATTGGCGTACAGGGGCGAATGCAAGGCTGTATCACGCTGTTTTTCATATCAGTTATTATTAATAATTATCAACTGTTTTATTTAGATGTTTGACATAAGAGCCAAAGGAAAACAAAGATCCCGGAGTGCAAAAACGGAAATGTGTGATTAAGCTTGAATTTAAAACGTATGCAGTAAAAGTCCATCCTGGCGTCCACATAGTTTAAATGCGTCACTGGGCTTATGATAAACGATTAAACATATAGTCAGCACTGAAGCTACAGTGCTTAGAAATAGATAAAAGTCCTGAAGCTGAAGAACTAGAGAAAACAGAAACATTACAGACAGCAGCCATGTCTGCAGGCCCAAAGGTTCAGGAATGGATGTGTTCTGACATGTTTGGATTAAAGAAAAAAACAAATAATCGGATTGCAACAATTTCTATGGACATAAATAATCCGAATAAAAAGGCCAAGAATATGCTGATAGTATCCAGCATATAGGAGGAAACACTCAACATTGACACGGGTTGCATGCTGGTCTCAGGTCAGCTTGACTCTTTCAGAATAACTTGATCATGACAAGTCTTTACATGCAGACGATCAGATAGTTAACTGTTATAAAGCACCCATCTCAGTTACATTACACATGTATTATTCTGATCCCACAATACTGGATCAGAATATTCTAACGGACATGTTTACATGACACATCTTTACTCTGATTACTTATGTTTATCTAAGCATAGCTGATGATTAACACCCCTATGGCCTGAAGCCATGATTTTAGTACTATAGCAATCTACGTACAATATGTATTATTCTATTAAAATGATAGTAATATCCTAATTCCCAGATAAAAATCCTTAGATAACAGTTCGTCCTTAATATCTGCGGGCTGCAGGATTTCAGAACGTTATAAAGTCAGGGAAAAACAATCTGATGACACATTGGGAAACAAAAATCAAAAGAAAAAACACTAATCTGGACAAACTGCTGCAGGTGATTCCAATTTGGCACATGTTTCCAGTCAGAACAAGCATTCCCGTTTGTGGGATTGGGATTTTTTCCTCCCCTCCTTTCTCTCTTTCCTCTGCAGGTCACACGGTTTTAATTCAGGGAACATAATGACCGACCTGTAATGTTCTGTGAGACACAGAGAGTTAAGTTTTCAGGGTTTTTTTGTTTTTTCTTACCCAGGAAAGCGTTAGGGATGGTGATTTTAAGCCACATGCGATCCCTGACCTCCAGACCTGACTCAGGGGAAGCCATCGCCTTGGCTACTGACGCCATGTCAGAGTGAAGCGACAAGCTAAAGTCATCGAAACCTGGAGGAAAAAAGATAAATAAACCACTTATTAGCCTGAAGAAATCTAGAAAAATCCTTTAGAAAGATGAGAGGAAATGCTGGTGAAATGTTAGGACCTACGTTCGGTCTCTGTGACGGAGGAGGAGGAAGTGATGGTGCTGAGAGAGGAGCTGCCCGGATAGGGAGGGAAAGCCCCGGTCATCGCCACAGAGTGGCTGACCCACGCCGCGGGGTCGATGGGTCGGATCGGCTCATCTACGCAGACAGAGGGAGAAGCGGACGGCACAGCTGACCCACTGCAACTTTTACCCGCCATAAGTTCAGATGTACGATGTACTTACTGCGAGGCAGCGTGAAGTACCCCTGTGGAGACGGGTCCCAACACTTGGCCACGGTCAGTATGATTGGTCTGTCGGACACAGAGATCAGTTCATGTCATAGAACGCAGAACTAGAACCATCCAGACTGTGAGAGTGAAAAACGCACCCCGGTTTATGTACGATCTCTCTGAGGACGCGTACCGCATCATCGTTGCTCATGTTTTCAAAGTTGATGTCGTTCACCTTGACATGAATACGAAAAAACACAAATAAAAACAGCTGCTGCAGATTCGAACACAAAAACATCAACAGAGACGACAGTGTCTCTTTTGTTATGCCCTCCCTCCACACCTGCAGCAGCATGTCCCCGGGTTCGATGCGTCCGTCTGCAGCCACGGCGCCGCCTTTCATGATGGAGCCGATATAGATGCCGCCATCGCCTCTCTCGTTGCTCTGACCCACGATACTAATACCCAGGAAGTTGTACTTCTCTGCATTTTCCAGGAATCAAAGCAGATTATTAAAAAAAATGAAGCCTCTCATCTTTGTGAGTCGTAAAACGATTCTCTAAATAAGCGGGTACAGACCCATGTTAAGAGTGACAGTGATGATGTTCAGGGACATAGTGGAGTCCGTCACGCTGCTGAAGGACGACGCCTGAAGTAGAAACACATTCAATTACTATAACTGTACTACTTTTACCAAGTTCTAAACTTCTGGGAGAAACAGAATGCAAAATTAGAGGTACCCTCTCCAGCCGCGGGGGGCGCTGTTTCCTCCGCCGGCGGTGTCGCTTCAGAAGTCTGGAGGCGGTGCTTTGCTCGGTAGCACTGCTGAACCTGCAGGTTCACATGATGAAAGAGTCAGACAGGAGTTACCTGAACTACATCTGAAAACAGATTTACTTTCCTTTGTTCCTTTTCATTGCATGAATTAAGACTTGATGAAAATAAGAGTTTCCTGAAATCCCAAAGAAAACCAGCTATGAACTAGTCCAAACGCTTAACTTTTTGAGCATTTATAAATACATTTTATAAATTTGTTGTTTGACTGAGTTGGACCTTTGGTAAAGATGGAATTGAACTCCTTTTCAAGGTATTCTGGACAGGCACACAAAGTCTCCTAAAAAATAACCTCCTTGGCAGAGATAAACATAATAACTAACTAAAATCATTTAAAAAGATTTTTAAAAAAAAACTAATTTCAAAATCTTTTCTTTCTTTATGTTGAGATAAAAGGATTTTGCTTTTTTTTTTGGAATGAATGGTTTATCACCTTGATGCATCAAGATGACCTGAGCTAAAGCTAGTTTGTTTGGTTTTAATAAATACTGATCTTAAAATATCATCATCCAGAGGTAAACTAAACCTGTATGTTGAGAAAAGCAGATTTAAATAATGTTTTTCTCACATTAGTTGACATTATTTCCGCTATTTTGGCTTTCAAATGCACACATCATCTAAGAGATGAGCATAATGCATAAGTCCTGAATGCTAGGCTCAACGTGCTCCTCAAGGCTGTGTGCTCGGCCCAAACCTCTACGCCTGGTACATTTGCCACCGCAGTCCGACCTACCGCTCAAACATCACTCTACATGCCTGAACACATGCCTGCTAATGACTTTTTAATTTCCCGTTTTTTTCCATGTCACACTGACTGCGCATAGAGAGGCTCCGACTAGGCAGGGTGAGCAGATCTGTGCAGATTTCTTTCACTTCTCTCTGTGTGCTATACACAAATTAAAACAATTTCCAAATTTTGACTTGGATAGATTATGAAAAGTTGTAAAACAAATAAATAAAACAACACTGCCGAATTCTATAAAGCAAAGCCCCACTTGACGAGTCTGTGCAGCATCTCAAACCAGATCAGACAGAAAATGTTCAAGTGCCTATAGTAGAAACATTCAGAGATCTACATCTTTAGAAAAGAAAAACAGCAATAAACGTTGTGGGACGTTTATTGCTGACTATATATATGCTGACTAGGGCTGGGTGAAAAAATCGATTCCTTTACATTTTTGCAAAATCTATGTCTAGGGAATGTGATCGATTAGTACATGACGTTCACATTCAAGTGAGCAGGAAAGATGCACTCAAGATCACTTCAAGCCAGATAGCTGCAGATATAGCCAATAGGTTGACTGAAGACATTAACAAATGGGGGCTGACCAGCAAACACCCTGTAGTTGTTACAGACAACGCTACATATGGTTTGTGCAGTGGAGATAATGCAGCTCATGCATGTCTGAGTGAGTGAGGCTTCATGTTTTTCCCACTTTTCACAAACAAGTTTGCACTTGTGAGACAGTTTTGTTCACATATCAAGTTTAAACTGTCTGATTTACAAGTTTGCACTTTGTGTTTAACGCGATAGGAAAAAATCAAATACATGAGTATTTTGAAACACAGTTAAACCACTTTCATTATTGTAAAAACAGATCGAATCGAAATTAATCAATTAGAACTTTATTAATTAAAATCGAATTGATTCAAGACTTTGGCGAATATACCTAGCGTTAACGCTGACTGAGGCAGAGAGGTGAATCTGGGAAGTTTATTGAAGTTTTTCTTTGTTTCTTAAAGAGGTGAGAGATACGCTGCTCTCATCTGATTTTTCTGCCTCTCGTTAGTTTATTTATGTCAGGCTCAGAGAGGATCACTATTTTACTATACATGTGTTTTTCCTACTTCTGAAATAATTTTTTCTAAGGAGATTGATAAACTGCGCTTTCTGTAACCTCCTTGTTTCTGCGAGGCTCAAAAAGGACCACTACTATAACCATTTTCTGTTCTCCTGAACTATCATGGGTAAAGTATTATATTTTTAATGTTTCATTCATTGTTTTTGCACAAGTCTTTCCGGCTTACTGTATACCCAATGTCGCGACTCTAAAACTGACTCTTCTCCCGTGCGATTAACAGATTTTATTTTGTATTTTTCCCACAAAGCGGATTGTTTTTTACTATGTAACCGCGTCTCTTGATTCTGAATTGCTGCATAGTCTGACTAAAATAAACCTGGGGTCTATCTCATTGGGACCTATACAGCTCCTTTTCGTAAAAATCATGTCAGGTGTGACAATCCCCATTGTCTTTCAATGAGCGCCAAACGCCATGACCTCGTCTGACAATTTTCTGTTGGATTAGACTCAAAATTGGATTTGGTGTGTTCTGGCCTTTAGCCTGTAGTTGTGGTCTCATTAACTTGAAGCACATTTGGAAGGTTTCCCATGATCCTCCCTGACCTCCAATTAGACAGAGTGTGAAACTTCTCTCCAACAAATAAACATTTTGCTGAAATCCTTTTAAATAGTGACAAAAAAAATGCTAAACTTCATTCGCCTAGATCAGAAATACATTTGTTACTTATTTTAAAGTGTTGAAAGTTATAAAAGGCTTGATAAAGTGATATTTATCCAAAAGAGAACAATACATAACATCAGGTATGAGGACAACTGACCCATTTCCCATTCACCAGAGTTACATAAACTTTAAATTAAATTGAATGGAGGTGAAGTGTTTTTATAAGATTTCTAATATCAGAGATTTTAGAGGCAGGCCGATATATTTTGATTAGGGTTCAGTAATACGGCTTAAAATATAAAAAAAACATTTCCTAAAGATTAATCATTAATCAATTTTCTTCTCATTTTAAGGTTCAAAATAAATTATTTATATTGCATTTTTTTTTTAAAACAATCACCCCTTCTAGGAGTTCTTAAAAAACTGTAATCACATGAACAATCGATCGATTAATCAACCAGCCTTCATTCCAATATAAATATTTTTAGCGGCGAAGAAATAACTAGGGTAAAAAAAATACAAAAGAAGAATAAAACAGACAAAAATAATATAACATGCACATAAATAAATACTTGAAAATATAAGTAATTAAAAAATAAAGTTGAAGATTATAAAGGACAAAAAAAAATAAATAAGGTAAATATTACAGAGGCAAATAATTAAAGAAGCCAATTAAGAGTTATATACATTTATGTTTCACTGTATAATTTAATTTCTACTTACATTTATTTGTTTATTGTATTTTTGGTGGCAATTAATTGTATGCTTATTTATTTATTGAGCATTTATTTATTTATTTATTTCTGTATTTATTTTTAAATATGGCAGAGTTGGTCCTCCATAGATATCAGACCGATTTCTGATATCAATATCTGATCGGTACATCCCAACTGTAAGTGAACCCGAATGAGTGAATTGGCTATTTTTAATACTCAGTCCTGGAATAGATGCAGAATTTGCCTCACTAAAAACTAAAGTTCACAGATTATACGGTGAAGCAAGCAAAGGTAAAACCAGTTTGACTACATAGAGGAAATATTATATCCACAAGCAGCCAGGTTAAGCCTCCATCCTTCACCTGCTCATGGTGTCGTCATCATCAGAGTCACAGAAACTGGTGGTCTCCAGCTCGCTGCTCATCACCGTACTGGAGCTCTCGTATCCTGCCAGGTGGCGCTCCAGGCGGCTCTGACCGTTCATGCGGGGGCCTTCAAATAAACAGAAGAAAAAAAGAAAATATTCTCAAGTTTTTTATTTGTTTCTGTTTTTGCGAGTGGAAAACATTCCACAGTAGAACATTCCTTGATTGTATCTCTCAGTGTTTGGAGGATGGAGGGAGGCCCAATCTGGATAAATCTCCGTGATAATGGACTGTTTTTGCGAACGCTGAGATGTGCAGTTTCTCACCGTGCTGCTCCACGTTCTCTCTGTGCCGGGGCCTCTCCCTCCTGAAGGAAACCACAGACTCGGTTTCAGTCTGCTCGTCCAACGTCTCCACGCTGCCCGTAGCATTGGGACTGCAAAGAGCCACACAGAAACTCAATATTTAAACTATTTTCTGTGGTTATTATAGCATTGTTTTGTTTTTTTTTTAGGTTATACTATAACCTGGAGGAGTTGTCTCCACACATTATGAGCCCGTCTTTAAACAAAGCGCACCTGATGGTTAGCTTTTAGTTACAGCCAATGATCCGGTTACCTGTCACCTCAATGAGGTTTTTCACTTCTAATACAAACATCTGATATGATCTTATCACATTACAATGAATCCAGAAACAGTCTGAAACTGAAGTGTTCATCTCCTGTGGCTTGAGTCTCTCAGAGAGGATCACATAACAGCAGATCCATCGGCGGCTCAGGTAGAAGCAGCGATTTGTTTTATAATGAAGACGAAACCCAATACAGACACAAAGGCAAATGTTGTGCTGGATGTTAAACCCAGAGAGGTAATTCCATCATAGTGTGAAGAAGGAGCCATTGTCTTCCACTTCAGTGTGTGTTTTTTTTTGCATCATGAAATAAGACTTCCTCCTATTTGTTTGTCTTTAATCTACGGTAAATAACAAAAATCATAAAAAAAATAAAATAAAATGGTTGCTACACATTAGATATCGCTCTGTATTATTGTTTTTGTAACCAAATTACGTCGGGGGGAGGAATGATGTCACACCCGACGTCCCAATGTTCCAGTAAAAACCAGTTAGATTTGCAGTTTGTTGTGCTCAGTGATAGGACTGTTTTACCATGGCACCTCCAGGATGTTTCCTCCACCCACAAATACACAAATTTGGAAAGTAGTTGTATTTAGACCCCTCAACTTGGACACCCCTAAATAAAATCCATTCCTCATGAGTTTACCGTTTCCCCTGCAGTGGCTCCTCCTCCATTTATGGGTCAAAATCATGACACATAATCAAGATTATTATTTATAAAACTATTGTGCAAATCAAATACACATACATGTATACTTTTTTGATAAAAAAAAAAAAAAGATTTGTTTCTCTTCTAAACATGGTACTAAATCAGAAACATATGTCAGAGTTTTACGGCGTCTGCGGTCTGAAGCATTCATAGACTCCTCTCTAGTCTGTGATCATTTCAGGTCTTTACTGTCATGTAAAGAAAGCTAAAAAAGAAGCTAATGGTGAACAAATTGCTCCCCATGCTCATATTTTTAACTATTCTTCATGAGGCTTAAGCAAACTTTCTTTTACTAAGGGTTTAAACACTAATATCACATTGATATTTACGCCCATTGCATTTGATTACCAAATTATGAAGGAAAAAAAGGAGTCCCAACATGTCTGCTAGCTTCTAACTTGCTTCACCAGACCTAACTAAATAAGCTAGGTGGTCCCCAACATATATTTTCCATCAGGGACAATCAGACAAAGTTAAGAATAAATTGACCAACAGATTATTGATTTCCAATTAAGTAAATAATTTAATAAAAAATTAATTTACCTATTGAATTTGTATTGTGAATTGATTCAAACACATTCCAGTTGCTCTAAATCGGTTAAATGTAATCTGACCTCATTTCTATTTCTTCAAGATAAACCTTGGTTCTCAAACACAAATCTATGCTGTTAACTGTGACATTATTTCATTATTTTATTGATTATGGATTTGGAACATGTTCACGATAACTTAGTTTAGTTGAGTTTCAGTAGTTTAGTCAAAAGTTTTTAACCAAAATTTTTTTTTAAATTGAATGATTTTTATCTTAAAAGTTATAGTGGAGGATCTTCGTGAATTTTTGAAAAGACCCTCCCCTCCACTTTAAAAACATTCACATGCACAACCCTGAACCTGCTCCCGAGAGGGATTGTCTATTCAACGCGTGCAAGAGCCCATTTCTCCTTGTGTTCGCTGTTTAATAGTTGCTGTTTGCATCGCTCATACAAGCTTACTTTCCAAAAGATTTGCAATTATCCCTCTATGTCAGACTCACCAAGTAAGTGAAAATGCGGACGTATGGACGTCATTACGTAAACATATCAACAGAATGACTGACAATTAGGAGGAAAAGAAGAAAAAGTATAGTACATCCTGTACTATACCTTAAAGATTTAAAAGGAAGTTGTTGTGAATTTATTTCATATATGTGCAGAGTTAACCGTCTAACCATTACTTGAGCTTGATTCACACTTTGACACAGCTAGTCAGACATGTGTTCAAAGGACAATACATAACAGTCCGAAGATTGTTTGATTATATAACAAAAGTGCCAAACCATTGAATGAAAGTATTTGATGAAGGTAAAATTGATGAAGTCTACAACCTCACAGTCCTTTCAAAACAATAAGATGAAAAACAAAGAGGATGATTAGAAAGCAGCACATAGTTTTTCATTCAGTACATCAGCTAAATATAAAGCTTTAGTTATGGAAGCTTTTGTTTGTCACATGGTGGTTCCATGCAAACCACAGCAGAACTAACAAACCCACCACTTGTAGCAGCTGCAAATCGAGACCTTTCAATGACAGTCATCGGGGGGGGGGACACTCCAAAGCTGTCTTTCTTACACAGTCAGTAGACAGGCTAAGGTTTGCTTAGTGCTTAGTCAGTAAATGCTTTTCTGTTCATTTTGTAGAGAGTTAACGTGCTTTTTCACTGCAAATCCGGTTTAATCCCAACCTTCAGCTCAACAATAATCATGTGACTGGCTGAATGTGAGACGTACAAGCAAATCTGCTTATATTCACCTCAGCTGGTTTTTATTCCGCGTAAAGCTCACTGTTGTCTGGACTCCAGAACAATCACGAATACAAAGAAAGGAAGGAAAAGCTGCAACAGGGAATTTAACTGCTGATTAATTCCCCCAGTAGCTAGTGGACAATGTCTTCTCTTACTCCCCCTTTTCTCTGCAGCTGGGCTGGGCTTCTGTAGGATCACACCCCCTCCTCTATCGTACATCTCAATGGGAATCTGAGGTTCTTCCACATAAATGCTCCGAATACTTCTACACATCCTTAAACCTCATGGATTTACAGAAGCTGCTCTTGCTTGGATGATAAAACTAAACCCTGTAGATTAAGAATATCATGTGATCAGAGGTCCTTAACATTTAGCAGTAGGAAGAAAAGTTATTTTGTTTTCCAACAAACCAGAAATTTCAATCCTAGTCTGACCTAAAAGCAAAGTTTAGCTAACATCATGTCTACCTTTGTAAGAATGGGACAGAAAAGGCTTATTAAATTCAGACCCCCCACCAAACAAATAGCTAATGGTTATTCTGGAGGATTTCTGACTCTAATTTCCCCCCTTTGGATTAGCTTTGAAGACTTCTCACTGCCTAAGCTCACAGAATTCACTTTTTAAATCAATGCTCTGACTTTGTAAAAACACACATTAGCTTGGCCTCAACAAATACATCTCATCATTCCTACTTTTAGGAGCGGCCTAGAAAAAAACTGAGAAGTTTTGTTAAGTGGACCTTAAAGGAAACTGAAATCTTTCAAAGCTTTTCGATCCAATCAGCAATAAAGTTCTGCTGTATTCTTCATACAGACAACCTGAGATTTATATATCGGGGTTTATACAGCAATGAATACTTTAGTGCTTTAAATGCTCTTAGAAACAATTTTAATAACATCAACAAGTACCCATGACCCTGTACCGTCGACAGGCTGCAGCCATGTCCTGAATTCCTCGTTTTCCAGCCACTTTAGCTTTTTTTTCCCGCCTTAAGCTTCTTTTCTGAACGTACAACTTTACGATCAACCGGAAGCAGTTCCTCGCTTATATTGCAATATAATATATTCGAATATAGAATAGAATAGAATTAAAGAATATGTGTATATAATATATGTGAAATTTTCTTTCTTAACATATTTAAAAAATGATAAAATAAAGCATTTTATATGCCAAGACAATCACACTTAATTATTTGTAATCCCAATTAAGGCCTTAATTTAAAAAAGAATAATTTAATGATTTTTAATGACCTGCAGAAACCCTGTATATTAATGGGCAAAACTAGTTTACACTAAACTTAAGTTCAGGGTCTTGAAATTCAGCATCCAGGTTACGTCTGACAGAGTTTATGTGAAAATAAACAAGTGCTTTGCTCACTGAAAGGAGGGAGGTCTGGAGTCCCCAATCCCCCCGGTCCTCTCTGCAGGCGGGGGAGGCAGGGGAGGCGGAGGTGGTGATGGCTGGGAGGCTGTTTCCACAGGGGGGACCACTGCAACAGGAGGCTCTGCAGCTGGAGTCTCTGATGATACCAACTAAAACAACAGACAGGGGGGGGAAAACTCAGCTCAGAGAAACAGGAAGATTGAACAGAACAATAAAACAAATGGAAACAAATCAATACACCCAGACAGAAAGTGAGGAGAGGGTGAGGAAAATCTGCAAGATGAAGGAAACGGCTTTGATGTCAATTACTTTGACATGAAAACACTCGACTCCTTTCAGGCAATCGTCTCAAGGGTGAACCGAAAAGCTATCCTACACTTAACCTGCCTCCCTTCATTATGCGGGGAAATCTGGCCACTCACACGAACAGCGACAATTAGGATGAAAGCCACACGGCATCAGGTTACAGGGCATATAAAAACTGACAGGAAAGGGAAGGAGCCAGGAAAATAGAAGGATTAATGGTTGTGATCCAGTCCTCTCATCACTTTATTGCTGCACAGCCCATGAAATATTCTGGGAAACACTTTCTTTATATTTCTCTTCATGTTTACAGCGAAGTAGCACTCAAAATCTAGATGTGATAAAGAGCATTCTTCTATAATTCAGCTCTGCCTGTAAAAGTAACTCCAAATCGGATTGATCAGCACATGTAGACAGACATCTGGGATCACATATCAGCTCATCTGCTCTGCAAGCTTTGTTCTTATTTTCCTTTAATGTTTTTTTTTTTTTCCTCATCTTATGGATTTAACAGATGCTTCTGCCTCAGACCTGCTTTTCTAGGCCAAGTCCCAAAGTTCTGCCTTTCTTCGGCTCCAAGCAGCAGGGTGGGGTAAAAAAACAGCTGGGAGGATAGGAAAATGTTACAACTGTACTTGGCAAATCACTTTACTGTATCTGTTCACAGGCTGTGCAACATAGAGCTAAGTTAGAGGAGGATGATGTAGATTTTTTTTTTCTCCTTTTAAATCTACACATCACTTCTTTGGTCTTCGAGATGACAGTTGTCATCTGCACAGCCCCACAATCCTGCACTGCAGAAAACTGTCAGTTTTTCTTAAAGTAGGTCTATTTTCCCCTTAATATTTTCGCAGGTAAGTCTATTTCCAAATGAATTAAAATGATTTATGGTTGAAGTAAAGGAAATAACTGTATTATCTTGTTTCAAGTGCATAGTATTTAATCATTTTTATTTTAACGGTCAGATCATCACTCAAATTAATACATCTTTATAAGTTATTACTTTTATATCAGTTTTTGCAGAGTCTTGCCTGTATGCTGACTTATTGCTAGAAAGTGGAAGGATAAATCATTCAGTATTCTTATAGGTACTGACTGAATCCATCAGTACCACATGTTACATATCCATGTAAAATCAATCTACAAAACACACAGCATCACATGCACAAGAGAGGGATGACGTCTAGGACTGCTGCTACGGTGAATGAAGCAAGCGTGGCTAAAAGAGGGCGCTCCAGAGTATGGCTCTATTGGCCAACGCGCTGACCAATGAGCTCAACTGACTGACTGTGACGTAGGAAGCGCCACAGGAAGCTGGTGGGGGAGTGTAAACAAACAGATTGTTGGTAAAACGGCAAATACGTCCTTCTTAAAAATGAATAAGCATAGAGCGTCTTCATGCTCACATTTCAATGAAAACACCAAGTATAATCCTTCCAAAACTGATTCCAAAGCTGAGTCAAACGAGAACTGTTCAATAGTTGTTGCCATCTTCCGTGTTGTGCTTTCTCCAGCATCGCATCATGCCCTCAAAACCCCGCCCACTTTACACCCAGAAATTCAAAACGCATCTCTGTTGTGATTGGCCCACAGTTCTAGGGCCTAGGGCATTGATTGAAGCTAGACCAAACGCACAGGCAAAAAATGACCTTGACCGCTGGCGGGTTGGGCTAGTTTACTAGGCTATAAAAAGATGTATTTTGATCGTGGTATTAATCTAGCTGCTGTTTACAGCCCACACATATGATGCGAATGAAGTGTGGAGGAGTGCAGACTGTTTCCTCCTGCAATCCCCCTTTAATACCACAACACTTCTAATACACCATCATAAAGTAGCTCTAAGTTAGAAGCACATTCAGTTGTCGTCTGGAAAACGTCAGATACATTGATATGCATTGGAGATAAGTTCTTCATAAGTTACGCATAAGTTATGCAGAAGTTACTCAAAGGTTTTGGTTAAGCTAGACACCACACATTATGAGTAACTTACACTTAACGTATGTCAACGATCAGACAACTTTCCTGTTACTTATGCCCCATGTATGAGCATAGGCCGGCATATTCGACGTACGTAGAAGTGTGTTAGCGTGCTTCAGCGCGCTCATAACCTATGCAAAACTGACTTATCCAACGTATGCCAGCGTTTTTGCCATATTTTTTGTATGTCAGGCATATGCTATGTAATTCGTGGGGCGTATGTTTTTATTAGTTATAACGTCAAACCGATTGAATATCGATTTTAATTGCAAATCGTATCCAATTGAAACAAAGAATTTTTGAATTTTTTGTACATTACCAGAATATCGACAAGGCTTCAATCAGAAAAAAGTTTGTCTTTTTGACAATTATTCTTCAACATCGCCGCATTCCAGGTGTTCCAGGTAGGATAATGTGGAGGGGACTGTGTGACAATGGCATCTTCAGCTGATCTATTAACTCTGTGCAAGTACTGAGAGTGTGAACTGATGAGCTGACATCAATGACTGTTAGACATGTAAAATGTCTCAAACGCCCATATGCTTGTGTTTATTTATAGCCTGGCTTTGAGGAAAACTAAAGGTGGAATTGAGAAGGCCTAAATAAGTCAATCAGACAATTTACAAACACAAGAAGTTACATAAACCATCTAAAGGAACTTCTGCCACAAAAAGAAACTGAAGCGGACAAGAGCCTCTCTACGAGGAGCCGTATTAAAACAAGGCGAAGGATCCGCAGCGGTGGACAATCAGAACAAAGTCTTGGATGCTACGGAGTGTTCTTTGGATCTAGCATGCTATCTCCAAAATATTTCACCAATAATTCATTTCTGCAGCTCAAAAGGTCAAAGGAGAGTCACTCAAGTTTTTATAGGAATGAGACGTAAAGAAAGCAGCCCAGAAATGGCCAACCACAAGGTCAGTGGTTTGTTGATTCAGAAGATACCGATGTATTTTTGATTCATTTCTGTTTAACAGTTTCTAATCTCTGTTTTTAAAATGTTTTAGAACCGTTTCTTTTTTAGTGGTGTGAGGGTTAGAGAAACAGTTTGGCTGATTCAGGTTCAGCCATTTTTTTACATTTCCAATGAAACTAAACACCGACCTTAAAGCCAAATCTGAATGTCTAATGTTTTACCATAAAATACTTAGATTCAAAGTGAACCCATTTTGGTTCAGTCTTTAAAACCTCTTTAAAAAAGAAAGAGAGATCAGCACATTTTTTACATCTTGAGACATATGTTGAAAATGTTTCTAACTTCTCACCCATGACACAACTCTGCCGTTAAAACAAGGCAGCTTGGCACCATCGTCGGAAATCTCTTCCTTCACAACCCTGGAAAAACAGAAAGGGAAAAGACAAAAGGTTAAAGCAGCAAGAATTACTCTTTTTCACAGCCTTAAAGTGATGCATTTGGCATCAGACCGTTACAGCTGAGTAGGATAGAGGAAATGCAGCGAATTAAAGCGTCTACAATAATCCTGAAACATCCACATAAACTGCTTTTTTTGTAACACTACTCAGCTTTATGAGTAAAATTAGACAGGAAATGGGGAAACATGTAGTATAGATCACAAACCCAGGATATATGCATCTCTGAGGCCACAGTAACGCTCATTAACCCTCATCAGCCTCACAGCGCTTTCTTTTCCACCATCATTATCCCCTTGGGCTTCATTGTATGTCAAATAAAACATTTGGCTCGTTTCAGCGTCATGAACCACTGCCATCAGCTAAAACGTCTTAATCATACTAGGAAGGTTTCTACAGACGGGACTAATCCATGTCCAGCCGCTGTGGACCCTAGGCGCTCTAAACAAGGCGCGTTCTCCTCATAGAGGCGGCGAGTTTCAGAAGCATCCCACGAATCGCCTGGTGCTCTGCTAAAAATACGCATCTAGGCTATTTTTGATGGAGGATGTGTCGAGCTGCACACAGCAGATGAAGGCAGGCAGACAGTCGGACGTATGGAAAGGGAGTCATTTCAAGCATGCAGATTTAATACTAAAGAAAAGAATCCCACACACTTATTTACATTTTTGTTTGTGAAATGATACGTTTATTCACTTTCTTTAGTAGTTGTAGCGCAGAGTTTTAATTTCATACCTTCAGGGGGATCTTTCAACGAAAAAAAACCTAAACACAGAACTGACAGTACTTCCACCTCCATCTTCTCTTTGTAACGAGAAAAACATGTGGCTTCATTAGTCAATAGTTTTCCCAAAACAGGAATTCAAGGCAAAACGCTTTTATCAGTTTATTTTCTCAGCGTCAACAACTGAGATGTATCTGAATGGTGCTGCTCTGGGTTTTTGTTAGCAGCTGGTTCTGTGGGAGAGGAGTAGTTAGCAAAACAGATTGTTGTGGACCCTGGTGGGAATCCGGACTACACACCCAAAGGTTTTTCACACAGTACAATAAATGAAACAGATGCATGTTAGAGGGACATATTGTTTTAAAGCTGGTTCTGATCCAGTCTTTAAAGCTTTAGGTTGCTAAAACCCACTTCACTGTCATTCTTCCTGCTGTTACATTCCTCACACTCAGCACCATCTGCTTTCTAATCATTTATCTTCCTCCAGCGGCGCCTTGATCATCAACCGACAGCACACAGACGAATATCCCGTAACTTTAACTGAACACCCCCCTCCACTCATTTTTCCTCGTGTAGACAGCCTACACACCCAGCAAATGGTCCCAGCACCAGTTCTGGCCTTCCTCCCCTCCCCTACCGCCACACACGAGGCTCCGGCCGACAGCTGGCCTCGTACCAGGGCAAATGAAAACACACACTATTACCATTATCCAAGAGGAGGGGGGAGGAAAATTACCCCAGCTTTGATTGGACAGCTGACTCTGAGGCAGTTCGGAGCAGTCGGCTTGGTTGGGATGTAAAGACTGGTCTTTGGTTTGACGTTGAAAACGTGTGCAAACATACAAGACAGAAAAATTCTTACATTTCGAACCTCATCGCACCTAAAAACAAAACTGAGGTAATAACTTTCAGACCAGTGAGCTCACAGCTTCCCCTACTACAGCTAGAAACCACTGATTATGGCTGAAATAAAGGACTAATGCTCAAGCAGGATCTAGAAAAACTTTTTCATGCATTTATCTTTATTTGAATTGATCAATGCAACAGTATCTTCACAGGTTTGCCTAAAAGGTCCATCAGAGAGCTGCAGCTGATCCAAAACGCTGCTGCCCATGTTCTCACTAGAACTAAGAAAGTAGAGCACATCAGACAGGCTCCCTGTAGCTCAGAGAACAGACCTTAAAATCATTCTGTTAGTCTATAAATCACTGAAAGGATCAGAATCTCAATACATTTGATGTCAGTGATCAACCCCCCCAGACCACGCAGGTCTTCTAGTTCCAGCCTACTCTGTACACCTGAAACTAGAACCAGACATGGCGAAGCAGCATTAAGTTCCTATGCTCCACTTATTTGGAACAAACTCCCAGAAGACTGTAAAAGTGCTGAAAGCCTGAGTTCCTTTCCGTCAAAGTTAAAAACCATTTGTTTAGACGTGACTAAGACTGTTAAAGTTATACTAAATGGAGTATTATTAGCTTAAGGTTATCTTCCAACTGTTTTATTTAGCATCTGCTTTTATTATCTTTATTTTGCTTTTATTTTACCTCTATTTTATTTTTTTTTTAATTCATGTAAAGCACTTGGAATGGAGTTTGTATAGAATTATGCTGTATAAATAAACTTGTGTTGCCTTTTCTACCCGCTTCATTTTCTGCTCTATTTCTGTGCTTTGCATAAAAAAATAAATAAATAAATAAATATGTAGGTTCAGTCCTAGAGTAAGAAAACTAATAATTAGAGATTTTTATCTCTTTTACTCTCATCCGATTCTGCAAAGTTTTTAAAAAGTTGTATAGAGAAATATCTATTATTTCCCAGTACAAAATGCATGAAACATTAAGAGATCTTCAGCAAGAAGGTCCTGGGTTAGTTCTCCCAGTGCAAGCTAGATTTTCCCAGCGTACCCAAGTTTCCTCACACAGACCAAAAACAACTCAACTACTTCCTGAACTTAAGCCAGCACCTTTTTTTCCTGTTCTTCATTACTGGACAAACTGAATAATCCAGGTGCGTGTGTGACCTCAGTAACCATGACCAGGATTGCCACGTGCTGAGAAACATGAGCTAAAAGTAGAGTTCCATTGCTAACAAGGAAACAAGATTTATGATAAACACTTGTGAGTAGAAGGCTGACTATTACTTCATCTGGATCATAATCTGTCAGATTTTCAAAAGAATCAGCAGATTAGAACAACCAAAGGAAAAATGCTGGACTATCAAATTTTCAGAATATAAACAATTATAACTAACGTTTAAGCTCAAAATTGTCATCATACTTCTGTTAGTGGTTTTGGGTGCTTTTGTTTTTCTATTTTATGTTAACCAACAAACTTCTACAGAATGGAAGTAAGATGAATGTTCTGGAGCATCCAATCCAGAGTCCCAACTTTAATCTGGGAGAGGATCAGTGGAGGTTGCTGAAGATAAACTGTGATGTCCCAGAGGATGAATCTGAAGGTATAAATATAACAAGCATGCAGGCTGTGGACAAATGATGCCATTTGAAATGAAGAACTTGGACCTCATGTTGGAACCTGCAGCATTCAGGTTCTACATTAGGCACCGATTAGCACATTATTATGCATTTTTAGGTTCTTAAAGTACAGAAAATAAGACTTAAGGAATATTATTGTTTGCTTAATAAAAAGAGGATAAAAGCCTAAGTTTTTAGTTGGGTTTTATGTGCCAACTTTATTTGTTTGGTTATGTTTTATTTAAACAATTTTACTCTTATATTTAATTAAAAAGGTTTTTCGCTGTTATCGCCTTAAAGAAGTTGGACAAATTAGTACAACTCATCCAATAAGTTGGTACCAATGCAGAGAACTCACCAAAAGAAATCACATTACAGAGGTTTTAGGGAAATGGACAGTTAACAGAGATGCTACACATTTTAAATACATTCATTTAGTTCCCCGAGTTCTTTTCGGTAACTTTCAAAAAATTTAGGCTTTGTTCACACTGCAGGCCTTGATGGTCAATTCCGATTTTTTTGTGAAATCTGATTTTTTTGCGTTGCCGTCCACATTTCAAAATATATGCGACTTGTATGTGATCTCCTGTGTGAACTGCAGTCATACAGCTTAAGTGTCCCGCATGCGCAGTAGAGGACGCAATGACGTCACAGGCCGTCGTGCTTCGTGTTTACGGAAGTAAACATGGACGTAGTACCGGAGCGTATCTAGCGATCTTTCCAAACCTTAAAACCTCAATCATTTTAAGATGGTTAAACATAAACACTGCTTTCCACATCATCATCTGCCATGGTGTGTGTTTTTCTTGCCGCTTCTATGTAGCAAGAAGCAGAATAGTGACCTTTGTCGGGTATTAATGACGTTCTGGTCAGATGAATGCGACCTGGCCGCATTTGAAAAGATCAGATTCATATCGGATTCAGGACCACATAGCCAAGTAGCCTGGGTCGCATTGGAAAAAAATCGGATCTGTGCTGTTCAGACAGCCATGAAAAGATCAGATACAGGTCGCATATGGGCAAAAGAATTCTGATTAATATATAGAGATAGATAGACAGATATTCCTGGAGCAGAGTGTGCTGGAGTTCATGAACTGCATTGTGCCCACTCCATGCAATCCAGTTCTCTCTATGATCCTTCTCTCCAAACACATAGTTTCATTTATTTATTTATTTTTTTTACTTTTAACAAGTCTCTCCATTGAATGGAGCAATAATCGGCGCAAGGTGACTTTCTGTGTAGAAGCTACCAGTTACCATTGGCTGACAATTGCAAAGGGGATTTTGATTGTCTTTTTTTTATTTATTTACAGTCAATTTACTTGTTTATACCCAAGGGCAAACGCTNTTCTGTTAGTCTATAAATCACTGAAAGGATCAGAATCTCAATACATTTGATGTCAGTGATAAACCCCCCCAAACCACGCAGGTCTTCTAGTTCCAGCCTACTCGGTACACCTGAAACTAGAACCAGACATGGCGAAGCAGCATTAAGTTCTTATGCTCCACTTATTTGGAACAAACTCCCAGAAGACTGTAAAAGTGCTGAAAGCCTGAGTTCGTTTAAGTCAAAGTTAAAAACCATTTGTTTAGACGTGCCTAAGACTGGTAAAGTTATACTAAATGGAGTATTATTAGTTTAAGGTTATCTTCCAACTGTTTTATTTAGCCTCTGTTTGTATAGAATTATGCTGTATAAATAAACTTGTGTTGCCTTTTCTACCCGCTTCATTTTCTGCTCTATTTCTGTGCTTTGCATCAAAA